AATGATAGTAGTGATAGGACATTAGCCAACTAGTTTGGATGCTTTCAAAATGAGCAGAGACCTAAGATTATGTGCTGAATAGATCATGTCAGGGAGGGAGTCTGTGTGTAGGGGAGTGCATTGTCTAACATACCAGCCAGTGAAAGTCCCCAAGGGTCAAATGTAAAAATGCCAGTGAGGAGGAAACATCTCCCCATTGAGTAACTGGGCTGAATAGAATAAATATTTCTCACCACATAAGGAAGAGGTGTTAATATACAAGTGATCTGATTTAAGGAAATTAAAGCAACATAATATTTCTTAACCTGAAAGATATTCAGCAAAAATATACCCATTATACAACTATAAAAATATAACTTTGAGTATTGTATTCAGCAGAATGTTGCAACCTCATGTTCACCACACAGGACTTTTATTATTATTATTATTAGTAGTAGTAGTAGTAGTAGTAGTAGTATTTAACAACATGTCAAGTGATAGATTTTACAAAGGGGACCTAATTTATGTTATCCCAGAAAAGACTTAATGTCTCAAGGATACGTAGGAGATATTCTGAAAAGTGTATCCCAGGTGACAAATATGTGGACCACAAGATACCAAGGATCCTGGGCTGCTAGAGGGTCTAGATGAGGCCTCTCTGGGCCAAGCCTGATGGCAGGAGATAAAAGTGGAGAGGGAATCAGATATTCTTTTGTGATATAAAATTTAAAACTCTCAGAAAAAAATCACTCATGACATTTTCTTTCATTGTACCATATGTCTCCCCCCTTATAACTATTAACCTAAGGTATGAAATATTTTTTAGTGATATGTACTAATGATTTCCTAGAAAGGCAATATAATATAAAGTCTAGAAACCCACTAGATTACTTTTTTAAAATTTATAGTCATGACTTTTTACTGTATGATTTTTCGTGATTTTAGAAATGTGCATATATTTTCCAAATTGTGAAAATAGTTTGATTTCCAGTTATTCTTTGCCTTCCTATTTTTCTCTGGATGTTAAGCTATCATCTGAACAATGAAGCTGTCTGATACCTCACAGCCAAAATGAAAGAGACCCTTAGAAAAGTAGTCCTTCCCTGAGAAAGCAAGAATATGCAGCTTCACTTATAAGGGAACCCAGAATCTTAAATTTACCAACCTCACAAAGAATACAAGGATGTGATATTGGAATGAATGGCTAGAAGTAATTATAAAACTTTCATCCTTACAACCCTAACAGGTTTACTCCCATTTAGAAATCTCCAATGCATGAGAAATCAGATATGTCAATGTATGAACTTTTAATTCCTTATCATTAAGGGAATATGCTTCACATTTCATTGTAATTTACTAAGTTCTTTCTGAAACTGCATTTCATGTTCTTCTTACACCTATCTGTGAGATAAAGTGAGCAAATGTTTTAATTCCAATTTTGTACGTATGGAAATCAAAGCTGAGAGAGAAAGGAAACAATTTTCTCCAATTTCTTGATATCAGTCAGTGACCAAATTGGGTTTCAAATCTAAGTCTTTCTTTTTCAAACACTTAATGGCCTAAATAAATAATTGGATCTGAAGTGCTGTAAAGTTAACCCAAGCAACAATAGATTTTCTCTAAGAAGCTTAATTTTCATGGGAAAATTATTGTGCACATATGGGTAAATAATATCATCCAATGTAGCTCAAAGAAGCAGAAAGGATAGGTCAAAAGAAAAAACATTTAGAG